TGTAAGCATATAGACAATGATTTCTGAGCTTTCTAAATATCACGTTACGTTGGACCTCTGACCTCTTCTTCAATGTCAAACAAGGTCAAACTTTCATAAAATGTCTGTTATCTTTAAAACTACTGATTTTGTTTGTATTTTTTTTTTGTATGATAAAGAAGTGTAGAAAGAACAGTCAGGAGAAAGTGAACGAGCTGCCTGGTTAGTTATTAGTTAAAGAGTCTCTAAAACCTGTATATGTTGTTCAGCACTAGCAGGACTTTCTCAAATACATTAATTATGTGCATTAAGCCCTCCATACGTAACAGATGCTGGTTTTGAATTCAAGAATTTCAGACTTGGACTGGTCAGACCACAGGACAGTTTTAAACTTTGTTCAAGTCCCAGAGTCTGGGCTCAGACTGGGCTCAGAGAAGGCAGCAGCAGTTTGCTGGCAGAGCTGCTTCCCACCTTTACACTTATTTGGGATTTGGTCATAACTTTTTTGAATTGTATTCCTGGCATCAAATTCAAAATGAGCGGGATGTTTGCTAACTTAACTAATCCTTTTGCCAGTTTCTGAAACTAAGAAGGGTAACACCAGTTTGCACAACTATAATCGTATCCTCAGGTTATTAGAGGATAATCTGAGCATTAATTAGCAACAAGAAAAACTTTTCGTCTTTTTAAAAAATTAGTTAATATGAGCAAACTATATTTCATTTCGAATTAACCCAATTCATAATGACTAATTATTAATTCTGAAAACCTTGCAGTAGAACAAGAACTGTGATTGTTGCACTGAGCTACATGACATTAGTTGCTTCTAACGGAGTTTCCACTGTCTACTAAAGATTATTTATGTCTTTGAGATTCATATTCATAGACTGAAAGGTCACTTTGGATCTGTGTTTGCTCTGTTGTATGATAAGCAGGTCTGACTGGAGTGTGACTGTGATAATAAAGGACTCAGGCACACAGCGTTATAGTTGCAATCTGTTTCTACAGCAGCTTTCCAGCTGCTCTCCTCCAGCTCCACACCACACTCTCTGCTCTGATCCCAGCGACGTACTCAAAGGGGAAACATGATCAGATGATGGAGGTCAGGTGTATTGAGTCAGCCTCCTCTGACACCACAGCCTGAACCAACTGCTCCACCCCTTCCCTGCAGCTGAGCCACAAACCACACTGTGCCACAGTGACGGTTAACTTTAGTAATAACAAAACAATTGATGGTGTTAAATAAACCTTTTGCTTGCAGCGATATAAAGTGAGCATACACAATTATATTATAGTATATTACAGTATATTGATATATGTGACATTAGGACATTTATTTAATGCTTGTTAAATAAACACTGACTAACATGGCTGTTTATGACTCTGTTTGTGAATCAGTTAACTCTTATCTACTTTTTATCCCTTTTGTCCCCCATAAACCCCCACCAGAGCGGCCAAAGGTTCGCCATCGAGCCCCACCCTCAACAGAGCAATCGAAGTCACATTGCCCAGCCTCGCCCCCCTTAGTTCCTCTTCATGCCCTGTCTCCGCAGTCTGATGCGTGATGTGTGAAGGGTCCGGGCTGTGAGGATTATGGCAGTGATGACTTTTCCCAGGAGAAGCTGGGACCCTGTTTACTAGAAGGTTTTAAAATTTCTGTACTTTTAGGTGACAGGAGACATGTGGCCTGGTCAAAACACAGAGAGCTGCACTCTAAAAGATCTTTAAACATAGTAAACATACCTTGTGTGCCACAGACTGCTCCCAAACACGAGGGGACAAGTAATACCTCTAAAACACTTAAGTTGGCTTTATTAAACATTAGATCTCTAGCTGGGAAAACATTTTTAATTAATGATTTAATCACTGAGCACAGCCTTGATTTTATGTTTTTAACTGAAACTTGGTTGGACCAAAGTAACAGTGGAGCTGTTCTCATCGAGACGACCCCTCCTAACTACAGTTTTATCAGTGAGGTCAGGGTGAGCAGGAGAGGAGGAGGGGTCGCTGTCTTATTTAATGAATCATTTCAATGTAAGCAGCTATCTCCTGGAAGTTTTCAGTCTTTTGAATATGTGGCTTTACAGCTGAAGGCCCCATCCAAAGTTGTGTTTCTTAATGTTTACAGGCCTCCCAAATACTGCACAGACTTTTTTAATGACCTCAGTGAACTGCTGTCTGTGATCTGTGTTGATTTTGACTGTGTAATTATTGTTGGGGATTTTAACATTCATGTGGACAACCCTCAGGACAAAGGGACTAAAGACCTGAGTAACACTCTGGGCAACTTTGGGCTGACTCAGCATGTAACAGAGGCCACACATAATAGAGGACACACTCTTGACCTACTGATCTCCAAAGGCCTGAGCATTTCAAAGGTTACTGTGTCTGATGTGGGCCTGTCTGATCATTACTGTGTTTTCTTTGAAAGTAAAATCTCAGCCCACACAAATATATCAACAACAGTGATCACAAAACGGTGTATAACTGAACACAGTAGTGCAATTTTTAACCAGGTCTTCCCATTAACACCTGACCTGTCCAGAGGGTCAGTCAATGAGCTCGTCAATAGCTTCAATGCTAACATGTTAAATGTAATGGACACTATTGCTCCCATTAAGGTGAAGGTTATCTCTGGAAGGAAAAAGTCTCCATGGAGAAACTCCACACTAGTGAAAAATGAAAAAAGAGAGTGTAGGAAAGCTGAGCGCAGATAGAGAAAAACAAACCTCCAGGTTCATTATGACATTTATAAAGAGAAACTTCACAATTATAATTTACAACTGAGGAATGCAAGGAGGTCCTACTTCTCTGACATCGTCACTAAAAACAGCCATAATGCTGGGGTCTTATTTTCTACAGTTGACAGGCTAACAAACCCTCCTGTGTCAGTGGCAGCTGAACTTCATTCGACCATGGCCTGCAATGACTTTGCCAAATTCTTCACTGAAAAAATCCAAAAAATTAGACAAGCAATTGGTACATCAACAGCAGATCCAGGATATGTACTGTGTCCATCAAAAAGCTGTTTAAACACCATCAAACAGTTTCAACCTATTAACAGCAAAGACCTGGAGGACATCTTAGGTCAACTGAACTCCTCCTCCTGCTGTTTAGATGTCCTGCCAACAAGTTTTTTCAAAAAGGTCTCAAAGACTTTAGAGTCAGACCTGTTACAGATCGTCAACTTTTCTTTATTATCAGGTGTGTTTCCAGAATCACTAAAAACTGCTGTAATCAAACCTATACTGAAAAAGGACAATCTTGACAAGACACAAATGAACAACTACAGGCCGATCTCAAATCTCCCGTTTTTAAGTAAGATCATTGAAAAAGCAGTTTCTCAACAGCTCAGTTACTTCTTAAAACAGAATAATTGCTACGATGCCTTCCAGTCAGGTTTTAGACAGAACCACAGCACTGAAACCGCTCTGACCAAAGTGTTTAATGACATATGTCTGAATACAGACAGTGGAAAAATGTCAGTCCTAGTTTTACTGGATCTCAGTGCAGCATTTGATACAGTTGACCACAACATATTACGCAAACGACTGGAGAACTGGACAGGTCTTTCAGGAACTGTACTAAACTGGTTCAAAACATACGTAGAAAACAGGAAATACTTTGTATCAATAGGTAACTTCACATCTGAGCAGACAAGTATCACATGTGGAGTTCCCCAAGGTTCCATCTTGGGACCCCTTCTGTTTAACATCTACATGCTCCCACTGGCACAGATTATAAAGAACAACAAAATAAACTATCACAGCTATGCAGATGACACACAAATATATATCACAATGTCACCAGGAGACCGAGGCCCTGTACAGGCTCTTGGTAAATGCATTGAGGAAATCAATGACTGGTTGTGCCACAATTTTCTCCAGCTAAACAAAAACAAAACTGAGGTAATAGTCTTTGGCGCCAAAGAAAAATGATTACAGGTCACCAGAGAACTTCAATCTATACATCTAAAAACCACAAACCAGGCGAGAAATTTGGGTGTAGTGATGGATGCAGACCTAAACTTAGAAAAACACATTAAGACAATAACAAAGTCAGCTTACTATCACCTCAAGAATATATCAAGGATAAAAGATCTGATGTCTCAACAGGACCTGGAAAAACTAGTCCATGCATTCATCTTTAGTAGGCTTGATTACTGTAACAGCATCTTTACAGGTCTACCTAAAAAATCAGTCAGACAACTACAGCTCATTCAGAACTCTGCTGCTCGAGTCCTCACTAAGACCAAAAAAGTGGACCACATCAGTCCAGCTCTGAGGTCCTTACACTGGCTGCCTGTCCGTCAGAGGATAGACTTTAAAGTTCTGATGCTGGCCTACAAAGCTCTGAATGGTTTAGGACCAAAATACATCAATGACCTCCTGACCCAGTATGAACCATCCAGATCCCTCAGGTCATCTGGATCCGGTCTTTTATCAGTTCCCAGAGTCAGAACCAGACACGGAGAAGCTGCATTCAGCTTTTATGCTCCTTATATCTGGAACAAACTCCCAGAAAGCCTCAGATCAGCTGAAACACTCAGTTTATTCCAGGTTGAAGACTCACCTGTTCTCAGCTGCATTTGAATAAAGCACCAAATCCACACTTTAAGCTTAAATTTCAAAACTTACATTTAACTACTGATTTTATCTACTGTTCTGATTTTATCTGTTTTGATTTTATATACTGTTGTTTGTTTGTTTGTTAATTAGTTAGTTAGTTTATTTGCTTGTTTTATTCAATTTTAAATCATGCTTTTTATTTGTTCTTGTTTCTAATGTCTCTGTAAAGCACTTTGAATCACCTTGTTGTTGAATTGTGCTATACAAATAAACTTGCCTTGCCTTACTTCACATCCACCCCGAGTGGATGTTTGGGACATTATTACTCACTGACAGGTAAGCTGATAAGGGCATGTTTCAGTGACCAGGTTTGAACTTTGCTCCCTGTGAGAGTCGCAGGTGGAGTCAGCCACAGCGCTGCTCACCTGCCGTTTCAGGAAATGAAGCGTTGATCCACGGCACCCGCCACGACCCACGACTGGAAGTATCACACAGTAAGTTGATCTAATTGAAGATGTTTCTATTTCTGGGGATTTTTTTTTAAATATTAATGAAAAGATTCAAAACTGAGATGATTTTTACATTTATATATCAAAACAGCAAAGAGTGGAAAACTTCACAGCAAGTGTAAAACGTATTACAGAACAGCCTGGCTCTGCCGTGAGCAAATAAGTGATAATTAGTAATAATAATTAGCGATATAGCGCTAATAGAACTATTATATTATATTATATTATATTATATTATATTATATTATATTATATTATATTATATTATATTCAGTGTTGGGAACTAACGGAATGCATGAAACCCAAACAAAACACGCAATAAGAGGCTCTAATATAAGCGCTTGATGTTGGCGACCCGAAGCCAGCGCAACGCAGCCAGCAGCGCACGGGCAGGAATCCATTTCTTACTTGGAAATTCCGTCACCACTTCACATACAAAAAAGAAAGGGATGGGCGAAATCTGACCGTGCAATGCAAATTCAGTTTGCATTGCAAGCTGCTCTCAGCATCGAAGGACTCCACCAGGTTTTAGTTGTGGTTGCTGCCTGGGTCATGTTGAAAGCAGACAGAAAGAAAACACAATACTGATACAGAAATTGTTTTCTATACGAGATCTCTGCAAAACCTACAGCCTTACCTAATGTCCACCCTACTGTTGCTCATTTATATTAAGATTTAAACATCTAGTTGGTACTGCTTTCAGAGGAGCACATGATTGTTTGCAGCTAGCAGGTTGTTAATGTTATCCATCAAGTCTAACAGCACCTCAGCTAACACCAGCTAACAATGTTAGCTTGGTAATATTAATAAATTACACAGTAATAGTACATTACATAGTTGTAAAAATCATGACAATATATCAAGTAATCCAACGTATTCAGAATACGTTACTCACACTGAGTAACTTAACGGAATATGTTACAAACTACATTTAGTGCCATTCTGTATACTGTAATCTGTAGTGGAATACATTTTAAACGTAACCTTCCCCACTCTGATATTATATTATATTATATTATATTATATTATATTATATTATATTATATTATATTATATTAGAACTATTTAGTCTGACTGCTTTGCTTTTTAAAAATATTTTGTTGAGAATAAAGAGTTACAAAACTTCAATGGATCAACAAACGTTTAAATCAACTAAATGTTTCAAATTTCAGTTTTCTACTTTTCATTGCTTTAAAATTCTCTGTTTCAGATAGTTTTTTGTGTCAGTTTACTTATGTTTTAACAAGATTTAAGTTCTTTTGCTCATTATATCATGGGACTATTTTTAGGATCACAAGTTTCTAATTACAAATTGTGTGGATTGGGAATTGTTGAATGTTGTCAGTTTGTATGCCCCACAGGTCAGATTGAATTGTCAGTTAGAGAGAGAGGAATTGTACAATAAGCTGGATGAAGTGATAAAAACAAAAAATCTTTTGTCTATTGAAGTTTGATTTAAGCAAACCTTAATAGACATGTAGTGGAGGGGAACAGAGGTGTTAGGTAGGTACTGTGTTAAGGAGATAAATGCAGATGGACAGATGGTGGATTTTGGAAAAAGAATGGAAATGACTGTGGGGAACACTTTGAGAAGAGGGATGGGTGATGTATGAGAGGGAAACAAGGTGTACACAGGACGACTACATCACATGCAGTGAGTGCAAACTTAAAGAGATAGGAGGAGGCGAGGTGTGGTGGCAGGCCAGAATGTAGCTGGGCAATATCACATGGTGTTCTACATCTATGATACGTTTGGACATCAAGACAAAGAAGCAAGTGAAGGCAGTATTAAAGGATCTATTAAAGGGTGGAAGTTAAGAAGAGAAGACTGTTGCTCAGAGTTCAGGGAGGAGTTGAGACAAGCTCTGGGTGGCAGTGAAGGGTTACAGGGAAATTAAAGCTTTACTGCTGAGGGAAACTAGCAAGAAGGCATTCAGTGTTTCCTCTGGATAGAGGAAAGCGAACAAAGATAGAGGTGGAAATGTACTAATAGGTCAAAGAATTGTGCTGGAACTGAGCTAATGAATGATAAAATGAAAGAGAGAGGAGGCTGGATGAAGGACAGTTAGTGAATGAGGAAGCAGAGTAAGGAGGAAGTGAGGCCAGCTGTGAAGGGGATGAAGAGTGTGAAAGCACCTGTGGAGGTATGTCCAGGAGAGAGGGCAGTGGACCTTATAACAAGACTGTTTAACATAATCCCAGACAGTGACGACGATGCCTGAGTGCTGTCCTTTGTTATATTTGTAGTTTTGAGTTATTTACTTGAAGTTTAACTTTGTGCTTAAGCATGTCCAACAGTCATTTTAGAAACATTCAGGAACATTTTTCATTTTTGAGTTGCTGAGTTCTTGTTGCTGCTCATTACAGCCGCCTGTTCCCATCTTTGAGATAAGCACTACCATGACTGTCTCCTGGGCCTCTCTCTTCTTCATCTGTTTATTACCCTGCACGATGGGAGGTGAGTATTCATTTCATTTTGTCAATGACTTCCAAGTTTTATTTTTGTTGCATGTCAGTAGCAGACCTGCCCAATAACAACAAGAGGGGGAAACCTCAAAATATGGAGCAGCTTTCTTTGATGTGAAGAACAAAATAATTACGGACAGTGTAATCTCAAGAGAAAATACACAGGAGAACAACATGATCAGAGCTTCCACCTCAGATATCACAGTTAGAGCTGATAGATTTTGAGGCATGTCCACATTTCTCATATAGAAACCGCACCAGGCACATGGTTTCACTCCACACACTGAGAAAGACACTGAACGCTGCGCTGAATTAGGAACTTTGGTTAAAAGCACACTGTAGAGAGAGTAAACCTCATATAATTTTATATCCTTTTACATGCTAAGCTCATAGTGGACCTCAGAGCCACAAATTGTTAGACTCACATTGCGGTTTCAGGATTCTTTTTCAGGACAGCCAATAAATGAACAATAACAATCAGCTTTATTGATCAGTGTAGTCATAAGATCATGGAGTCAGTCTGGGGCTGTGAGATCTGCAGGGAAATACGTGATCCAGCTTTGCCGCTCTTCACAAGAATGAATCGAGTGACCTGACAAGTACAAACATATCCCTGGATGTGCTTTATTTGTTGTCAGATAAAACAAACCTCTGATGTCTGATTCCAGCTTGTGGTACTGTGTAACTATGGTGACTATGTAGCAAATGTTTCTGAAACTTATATTTCCACAGCATGTTTGAACCTCTCGCTATTACAAAGGATCAGTCTTTACCTATGATGCAGTCTTGGGGGAAAAACTGATCAAATCTATAATTTCAGTAACATGTCAACAGCCGTGCTCAGACATTTGTTTAATAATGTGACTAACAAGGAAAATCTTCCTTCTAGGTTTGAACAACAGCGAGAAAATATTTTACAATGTCAGCTTTGATGCTTATCAATTGAAGGATCAGCCCTGTTTTGTGCTGTGTTTAACTTTCAGCCTTGTCAAAAGCCAACACAACAAAACCAATGGCCTTTGTGATATTTACTTACCTTGAGCAAACAGCTCTCAAGCACCATATTGAAAAAAAAGCAGTATGTACCTGTATAGCCTGCAGCATGCATTGCCATTGTCCTGTGACAAGGAAAAGTTCTTCACTGATTGATGTCACTTCCATATTTCACTTGTATTTTTTTAGCATTTGTGTTTAAAATGTTGTGATTTGCCAACACCACACCTTTATACACCTTTCATAATAGTCTACTGTAGTTAAAACGTCAGTTAATACCAGAGTTACTTTGTATACTTATGCATATTTATGCATTTATCCAAACAGCTATTATGTGCCAGCGTAGAGTTTAAAACCCTGGATATGCAGGAGCTTCAGGCAGTTTCACATCAAACGTTAGAATAAGTTAAATCCACTGAATCAAAATTCAGTGGAACATTTTTAGGATTTGATATGATTGGAGATATAACTGGTTGCAATCTTTGGAGATGTTGTAATGCAATCATGTCAACACACAGCAGAATCTCAAAAGAATATCTCCAATATTTTATTATTATATTACATGAAGAAGAATGTGTATTTATAGCAAATTCAAACCTTACCTAAGAATGAATGTGGCCCTTTTAAGTAAATGTTACATACACTTTGAGATCATGATATTAAATATAATTTTTTCATATAGTAAGGCCAAAAGTATTTTCTAAATCACAGAATTAAGGTATTATCACAGTAAAGAAATATGTTTTATATGATCATCAGTGACAGGAGCTCATTTAGTCAAACAAAATGTGCAGAAACACCTCTATGTTCCACACAAGGTTGCAAATCCTCACATCTATTCTCTTTTAAACCTACCAGTGTCAGACCAGTTTCAGCTGGAGCCGATGACTGCAGCAGTGTTTAAAGGCTCCGATGCCCAGTTCATCGCCAGAGTGACCGGATCGTGGGAATTCATGGCCTGGACAGTTGGACAGTTTCTGGTCCTCACGGTCCGTAGAAACACTACAATACTCCAAGTAGAGCAGTATTCAGCTAGATTCTGCTCCAGTGATAACAGCAGTTGTGTGGAGTTTACCATCCATAATGTCAGCCGCTCACTGATCGGGCCCGTCACCTGTGCGGTTCAAGGGTCATATGGAGAAAAAACAGCACAGCTTTCTGTACAAGGTGGGTTCGTAAACATGTATCAGACGTTTTGAAATCTAAAAGCCTAATTCATGTATCGGTTGACCTCTAACCTCAATGTGCAGTCAGTCAAACCTAGAGGAGGATGTTACCTTCAAGGTCTTTACCTTCTTTTCCTTGTATTTTCACACCATTGTTGTAATGACTGGAGTGTACTCTGGAGGACAGCAGTGAGCACTGATTTTCAGGCTTCTCAACAGCCTCTGGCAGCAGCGTCTAACCATAAAGTAGATCTGATGAGAAAGAGAAACAAAAAGCTTTAAAGCTAAAATGAAAGTTGAAATGACCATTTCTGTGACGCTGACAGAATGTTAGATGGTAACAGGCCAGCCTGTTTTATTTTATTTTAATTTGATAAATCTAGTTGGATAAAATTAGCATCACGGATGCACAGAGTTGCAGTGATCTCATAAATGAACCAGTTAAACAGTTTATTTAGACCCTGGCTGACAATTATGAATAAATTATCTGGGTTATTGTTGTGGAACTTCAGGATTTATAAAAAACGAGCGAGTCTTTATATTTTCCAGTTTAACAAAGTGTAAACCTAATGAAACCGTGGCAACAGTGACTGAAATAATTCCTTAGGTGTTCCCCCAAAACAAAAAACAAAACCCTGTACAATAAATTTGTTGCAGGCTTAGAAAGATTTAGAAAGGTTGTAAAAGTGTCAGCAGTTCAGTTGTATGTGAGCTCAGCCCTGACATGTGTTCAGCTCAGATGTTGAATCTAGCAGTTTTCCAGATAATCAGCCTGAAGCCAAGCTTTACACAGACAGCAGTACGGAGTAAAATATGTTGTTAATCTGAGTCCTGGTCTGCCTATTAATGGACATTGATTGTGAAGCACTGATGGAGAGCTGTCTCGTGAAGTTGATTAGAATCTTATTGCTTTTCTGCAAGGGGACATTAACGAGGGACACTCGCAGTGAACATTCTGGTTAAAGAGAGTTTCACAGTGAAACAATACAAGTTCCTGAATGGGAGCACCCCTGTAATGATCGAGCCCTTGTCAAAGACGTGCTGATCTTTACACCTGCCTATTTCTCCCACGTGGTGATATGGCCATGTGTTACCTGGTAATTTCCAGTGTCCATATTAAAAAGAGTCCCTGGAAATTTTGTTCTGCCCAACTTTGCATTGGTAGTTTAACTCTGGGGATAAAATCAGTGCATAACCTTATGCTGAAGAAAACGATGACCGTACCCCCGGTCGTGCTTCTGAGCTGATTCTAAAAACTATTACTTGGGGTGTAGTCAAAGACTGTAGATGAGAGCTGGGTCACTTTGACACAGAAGCTAATATTTCAGGTTTCGTGGTAAAATTGTAAAAGTGCAAATGGTCCGAACACGTTTTACAGGGAGCAAAGGCTCATTTAGGGGAGAACTAGAGTAGTGCATGGATCGACTACTGCTGATCGCTAACATTGCAACAGTTTCCTCCACCCAGTCCCTTCATGTAACATATTTAAAAAATAAAGAAGTCAACAGGCAAATACTGCATTTCAGCATTTAATAAAGCACACAGAGAATCAAAGCCCGACATAACACAAAGGAGTGCCAGGAGAGGGTCTTTTATGAGATAGCGACCAGACATCTGGTTAAATGAAGCCTGCTGTTAGAAAACAATAATTTCTTATTAAGATATAAGAAGTTATTATAAAATATTATCCACACATGCGTACAAGGTGTATTTGTCAGCAGTTGTTTATAGCCACAGGTTTGTTTCTGTGGTGTATATTTATTAGAGCAGGATGAAGTATTTATTTCACTCAGCTTAATGATAATTTGAGGAAATAACATAGCTCACTCTCAGAGATATAGTGAGTGAAAATTTAATTAAGCTCGATCAACATTTGGCAGTGGTTTATTGGTTGTTTGACTAATTTACTACATTGGCTTCTATACTAAACATGAATCTCTAAATCTCAGCTGGAGGAAGTTATGAGGAAGTCGATCTCTGCTTACATGACTTTACTGCAGATTTTTGGTCTTTTCGTGTTTTTTAAGGGCAATGTTAAATATAGGGAACAACTTTCATCTATATTTTTCAGTTTATTCTTCAGGTCCAATCATGAAGCTAAGAATTTATTGTGGACAGCACATTGTCGCCACTCTTTGATTATAAGGTCAGAAATGGGTTTTCTTCTGGACCTAAACTCTCCTCTGTCTTTCTCAGAGAACGGTACGATCAGCATCGCAGGACCGAGCATGAAGGTGATGTATGACCAGCAGGTAACGTTCCAGTGTGTAGCAGCTGGTTGGTACCCCAAACCTACAGTCACATGGACTCTAAATGGTAACGCTATGAACAGCACCCTGGACAACTTCACAGATAATGGGGATTTCTTTAACTCCACCAGTGTACTAACCTTCCAGGCAGTCAGAGACACGACAGTCAAATGTTTGGTGAGCATCCCAGCACTGACATCTCCGCAATCAACGTCTCTCTTCTTAGTAGTTGGTAAGAAACTCTTACTTACTTTTTGTGTATAAAGTTGAAAATGTTTAACAAAGAAGTTACAAGCCGTGACTTCTGCTACCTTCAGAAACAAGAGGATCTGTTTTTGAGTCATTTCCTCTATTTGTGTTACTGCCACTACTTTACACTTTAATTCCAACTACCTTTGCAATGCTGCCAGTCTGACCACAGAGTGCAGACAAGCAGAAAACTGTCATTTTATGTGCAAAGCGATCCCTGTGTAAAACAAAGATGTTAGTATTTTTCATTAAACCTTTGGTATGCTGCACTATTTTTTGCTAAACCTAAAACAAAATGTTGCCCTTTTTAAATCTAAAAGCTGTTTTAAATCACACTTTTAGAAAAGAGTTAGATGTACGTGCCCTCGTGGTGAACTTCAGACGATTTTGGTTCAGGAGATTAAAAGCAAGAGAGCAATAAACTGTCACCTTCCAAAACACACTGTACAACATACTTGCATGACTGAAACTTTTCTAATTAAAACCAAATCTAAAATAAAGGTCTAACCAGGTAATGTAAATATGATGTAATAGAATTTTATCATAGGTCAAGTCTGGACAGTCATGGACACAATGTGAGGCAGTGGTATAGCTGGAAACTGTCCATGTATTAGGGTACTCACAAAAAGTAATGTATTACATTACTTACTGTTTTCTTCAAAAGTAATGCAGTATGTTACTTTATTACTCGCTGGAGAAAGTAATTTGTTACACTACTTGTTACATTACTTTGTCATTACTTAATAAAATTACTTGAATTATACTGTCTTGTTGTCTGCACACCAATACACATGTGTAACCTAATGAAAACAATCTTTCTTTCAGTTCTTACGTATGAACACAAAACAATAAAACAAAGATGAAAACCAGCCTAAGAGACTTCAAAGTGATCGCCACAGTCATCCTGCTTTAGAAATACGAACAGGCAGCTAGCTTAGTGTTAGCGAGCTTTATGTGCAGATGAGACAAAAGTTCAAAGCGCCAAAGTTCTGTTAGCAGGATAATACATGTGTTTCTCTCCCGGATGCAGTTTGGTTTACCACGATGCTCGTGTCCTGTTAAGCAAGCAAAAAGCTTGCGTCAAAGCTCTAACCATTTTCCTTCTCCTGAAATCCACTGACTGCTGCAAGAGTGCGCAGGAAGAAAAATGTTATTGTTGGATTCTTTTTCCTTTCTATCCACCCGGCATGCAGATAACTAATGAATGTTAGTAACATGTCACATTACTATGTTACTGAAAAATATAAAGTGATTACAGGCATGTATTACTTTGTAACATATTACACCCTACACCGATATATTATAATCATATAAGGAGATAATTATATTTTCACGTTTTTTTCCGTGTGAAGGCAAATCTCACATGGGATTATAAGACATATACTCTCTCCAATTAATGCGAGAGATTTTTTTTCCACTTTGCTTATTTATGCCTGATAGATAGATTCTCTAAAAGTGCATAAACTTCTTCGGACATGAAGGTCCTAACAATGATTTCAGTGTTAGAAGTAATCGGCAGGGTCTTCCTTTAATGAATGACCCTGACAAAGCACGACAGCATGAATGATGATATATTACTGTTTGCCTTAGCCAGTATAACAGAATCCTTCTACTGTATGCTCAGATCTTATGAATAAGTGAAAATCCACAGATAGACATAAATATATAATTTATCAGATCTGATAAAAAATAAAATAAAATAAATAGACAAAAACCAAATAAAAGAAATATTCAACTTATAACGTAGAGTAATTACCCTAACACCAATAGCCCTGAATGTTTGGAGCCAGCCAAGAGGACACAGATATCACATGGATTCTATGCTGTAATATGCAAAGAGGGAGAAGTGACATTTCTACCAGGAAGTAAAGCGTCCTGCTTCAAATAAATAGAGTAGAATAACAGCTACGGACTGTTCTGAATGCCCAATCTTAGGTTTTTTGAATCTTGTCTCTGTATGATGTCAGTAAGAAGAGATATACCTAATATGGTCATGTCCACTGTCATTATGCAGTGCCACAGGACTAATTCTTGAGTTGGTATTATACTCATCTAGTTCCCACACCTTTTAGGTTTTTTGTTAGATGCCTCAGAAAAAGTATCCAGTTAACGCAAGCTTTAGACATTCACATTCTGTTCTGCAGAATTAAATATGTAATTTAACACGCCACACTTTTGCCTCTCCCAGAGAAGAGGAAAAGACCACAAAGGTTGTCATCAGTTCTCATTTGTCAAGAGAACCACAGTCGTGCTGTGGCCAGGATGTCAGTCTCTGTTCAAATATTTTTGTTTTGTGAGCGATAACCAATCAGATGAAGCAGTTTAATGTGTAAAGCATAAAAGAAGTGTGTGTGTATGTGTGTGTGTGTGTATAGGTGTGTGCTTGCTCATGGGGGTCATATGATTGTTGGGGTTTTCTCTGTATGTGTTATTGTAGGGTCTACCTTACATACAAAGCACCTTGAGGCGACTGTTGTTGTGATTTGGTGCTGTATAAATACAACTGAATTGAATTGAATTGAACCTAGGCACAGTATGAGATACATAGGGATTAGTTTGGACACTGAGTTTTAAATAAGCAGAAATGTATTCCTTTCCCTCCGTTTTAGGTGCTTTTATTGAACAGTTTAGTGTGATAACAACAGCTTTAAATCTTTGAATCACTTTCTCTTACTTCTGATCTTTCTTCTGCAAAAGCTCCCAAGCCGCCTAATTGGACTGTGTTGATAGCTGTGGTTGTGTCCTTTGGAAGTCTTGCTCTGCTGGTTTTGCTCATCATTGGAATTTGGTTCTGCTACAAACGCAGGAAAGAAAAACGTAAGGGTCTCATTATGTCATTAACTACGTAGATTCTGTGTCCCCACAATCACAAATGTTATACTAACAGATGATGAGCACAAATACAGAAGTCACTGTTTCATTTGTTAACTACAAGTATTTGTGAATCTGTTTTTAGAAACAAACTATCAGGATGAAATGAGGTAAAAGCCGATTTTAAATTATTCTGCCATTTAATTTATTTATTAGCTAATAAACCTTTTTCAGCATACAGTAAAACTGACTGATGTTCATATTTGTGTGCTGTAGGAGAGTGAGGACACAGAGCCAGTTAAGTGGTGTGCATGGACCCAGAAACAAAGAGGGACAAGTGAACACAGCATATGTGCCGGAGGGTCAGACAAGTAAGACTGAACACAAACACACAAGCCTTTAAGAAGTTACTCGTGTACTGTACCAGTATCTAACAGATAAAAGGGTACTTGTTCTTGTACTTTGCTCTTTGGTGGAAATCTCTGAACAATCTTAGAGGTAATCCAATTATCCAAAACCATCTGATACACTTTGAATCTTTACATTTTTTTGCATAGTTGCTGATCCATCCTTCTTTTCCTGTTTTGCTTCTCTCTTCGCAGGTGTTCCTACCAGTGAAATCACTGACAATGGCTTATTCCAGGTAAATAGCTCCAGTAATTTAGATCCTGGTCTGGGTTTTATGCAGCAGTAAACATGCTAGCATATCAGCCTGTCCAAGCTGACATTGGGATGGGTTAATAGGCCGTCAGGCAGACAGCTCACCAATCAATCACAGGACTGTTATTGGACAATAGAAAGCAGTTTTGTTGGGTTTGTGACTTTCTTACAACTCCTTTTCTTACAGCTGCACTGTACTGGTGACTTTGGTGGAAGCGAAGAGCAAAGATGTGTTACAGTTCTCGTCTATGTCTTCCGTGCTAGCAGCCCAGTAAAGCTGTAGCATATTAGCAAACTACTATTTGGCTACGTTCACACTGCAGGTCTTAATGCTCAATTCCGATTTTTGATCAAATCAGATTTTTTTGTCTGCTCGTTCACACTACAAATAAAATGCGACAGCAAACGCACCCTAGTGTGAACGCTCAAAGCGGCCGCATGCGCAAAAGAAGACGTCACACACGACACGCTCTGTTTAGACCCAGAGCAAACAGTATTGTTTGACTGATGGCCCTTAATATAAAGACTTCGAACTTTACGTTTCCCGATTTTGCTTGAAGTTATTTTGTTATTTACATAATAATGTAAATAACCTAATAATGATCCTTGTTGCTGTTTTAGAGGAGCGGTGCTTCAAAGGATAGCTGCAGATTTCTGTCAGAATCTGCAGATTATACAGTACAAAGAAAATGTTCACGTTTCTCCAACGTTGTCTTCCCAACAGTTTCACTGACATCTACACTGGATGGCCAGGAAGAGCTTGTTCGCGATGTCTTCTCGGGCGCTTCCCCGGAGCTGATAATTGGCGTCTGTCGTGTCAGTGACGTAAAAGACGGATTTAATGCGACCTGACCGTTCAAACAGCAGTCGCTTTCTAAAACATCGGATATGTATCGGATTCAGGACCACATACGAAAGTGACCCAGATCGGATTTGAAAATATCGGATTTGTGCCGTTCACACTGTCAGACCATGATCGGATGGATGGGTCGCATAGGGTCAAAAAATCGGATTTGATGCGCTTTCGCCTGCAGTGTGAACATAGCCTTTGTTTAAGGGTAAATATAAAGTAGGACACGGGCTAATTTGCAGGTTTTTTTGTGGGGGAAAAATACTTGAATTACCTTGAAAATGTTCATTTTGATCACATGATGACTCAAGGTCATGTGTCACTGCTATGCTAATCCATTCAGTAGATGTTGAGATATTTCACTGATATTATAGAGAACAGCAGTTTATCTGTAAATGCTTCAGGACATTTTAATGAGAAACAAAAAATGTTGATCTCTTTGTTAACTGACTCAGAGTTACTGCAGTTACCTTAGGTAGAGCCACAATACTAGCTAAACAGCAATCATTGCTTCACAGTTCACTGTCAGCACCACATAGTGAAGTCTATTTTCTGTCTGGATCTTCAGCCTAAAATATGAACTCTCATCACGTCATGATTTTAGATGCTTGTTTGAATAAACCTGATTGCCTTTTAAGTTTGTCATCGTGAATTCTCGAGTTATGGTTGTGCTTCGACCGAACCGTTTTATCCTTGAGTCCAACTAAATATTTGACCTACTTTTTTAGATGTTCCCTCTGGACTTTCAAAAGATATCATGCGATAAAATGTATAATGCCTCCCTTAAATAGAGCTTTTCCAGTCAAGCAGCAGCAGTTTGTATGCTTAAGTGGTTCAAGTCTGTCTTCATAATGTCATCATACTCCAGTGAACGCTTGGGGTTCAGTGTCTTGCTCGAGGATACTTTGACATTTTGCTATTCAGACTGAAGCAGCCAGGAATCAAACCATCAGCTGACCTGCTCTACTTCCTGTGGCAAAGCCAACCTGTAGAGAAGCATCGTTTTTTTCACAGTTCAATCTTTGTTTCATGCTGTAATGTCATCTCATGGATCACACAATAGAACACCAGTTTTTCTAGTATTGAATCCATCTGACCTTTGGAACCATATTCTTTACATAAACCACAGTGAGTAACACTGGGCAGAACACTTGACACAGGTGGCGTACATTACAGTCCAAATTTTGCTTAGTCATGCTGTGTGCCTTTGGAAATGCTGAGACAGTTTTGATTAATTCAGATCATTTTGCTCTGGTAAATGAGCAAACATGATAATGTATTCATGTGGCTTCACTTCTGCATTCAACCACGTGAAAATATATTCTCCATAATTATGAACATGTTAATTTTCCATGTACTTTAGCAGGCAGGGCACAAATGGATGAGTCACTGTTTTACCATGCAACTAATTTAAGTTTTGAATGACGCACCCAATAAACAAAGATGTTATTCAAGACCACAGTTACATTGCAGTATTTCCAAGCTGATTACGTGTTCAGAGGAGGAATATGATTAATGTGTTGTATAGATTTTAAAGTAACACACAGGAATATAGGTTGATGAAAATGTTGAAAGAAAATTTTGGATTTATTATTATTTATAATGTTAAATTTTGCTGTTTTTGATTTTTAGGTATCTACTGTGGCAAACAGTGCACAAGCAGGTGGTGCCTTCTACAATTTTGAGGATCCAGGCTTCATAAAACACAGACACGCCACGATTGTGTGAGGACAAACAGAGGACACGTCTCTGAATGCTTGCGAGCCTGGGAACAAACCTGCACAGCATCTAAACGGTGCTCGCTTTGTCTGGATAAAAGGTGATGTGAATGACTGGATCTGCTCAAACCAAAGACTGATGTAGTGTGAAGGCTGTAGCCTCAGGTGGCCATGCAGATTTTAAATCCTCCATAATTTATTGTAGAGAAGAAATCATATAACCCTGCGATATATATACGAATTGTGTACATTTTTATTGTAACATTATGTGAATTTAAATATTCAAAAGTGATGAAAGTGATTAAACTTCTAAATCCCCTAATTTGCATCTCCTTACTTGTAAAGCAATTGTTCTCTGAAGAGTTGTCTATTTTAAAAAACATTATTAAAACCTGTTTTAAATGGTTACTTTGAGAATGACATGGCAGTTTCACATGTATAAGTTATTAGCCAGCTGCTGTGCACGGCAGTTTGCGGTGGTTGTAGCTCATGAGGTGGAGCAAGTCATCTACTAACTGGAGGTTTGGCAGTTCAATTCCTTGTTGTTCCAGTCTCCATACCAAAGTATCCTTTGCTCAGATATTGCATGAGTACACGATTTCTTTGAGTTATAGCAATTTTATTTGTCATGGTGCAAAATAGAAATTCGTCATTTTGCCAGGGTCACACCCTCTGACAAAAACTCAGTTTTCAATGTAGCCCAAGACCAACTTCTTAAGGCTTTTCCTGGACAAATTTAGTTAAGGTTGCTCGGGTCACCCACCTCTACTCTGTATCCCAAAGTGTTAAACATGACATTTCCTGTTTCCACTAGGTGGCGCTGTCACCAATGTCAAATATGGCAGTTGAAATGTTTTCAGGGGCGGAGCCTTATCACATGTGGGAATTTGGGCCAGATTGGACCATGTTTGAATGAGAGCAAATACAAATTTATTTATTTATTTATTTTGCCTGTCCCGTTTGGCTCTTTGCCATCAGAATTATTGTCTAAAGGCAAACAAAAGATGCCCAACGGATTTACTTTACCAAATTGACCATCCCAGCCTTGCCGTAATGGTCCATTTGATTCACCTTTTATTGTTTATTTTATTTTCACTTACTGAATACGGGACAGACTTGACTGGGGGAAAGAAGGGGAGAAAGAAAGAGGGAAAGAACAACAGCGGAGAAGAGGGACGGGGGAGAAGGGCAAAAAACAAAAACCAACAGAATGAGCAGAAAAATTTAAAAAAAAAAAGAAATAAAAAACGCATATATCGATCACCTGGCTCACCTGCTGAGAAAGAAAAAAGAAAACAAGCAGAAGAGAAGAAGAGTAATAGAATAAACAACATCACAATGATATATGGGAATATGACAGTAAATACTAAATATTAAACATTATTGTGCAGCACATAAGATCAACAGAACACAGTGTGCTTTGAGGTAGGAGCCAAAAAGGGTGTAGTTTGTGGGTGTGATCACCCGTGTGTACACCTGTGAGCATGGACGCGCTTGTTTTTTGTTTTTAAAAGGTTCCTTCATGTAATGATCTGCTAGAGGGTGTGGGGGGGCCACAGCCCCGTCCTCCAGGGCATGAAGCAGGTATGGAGGAGATCAAAACTCCAGACATCCAGAGCCCCCCAGAACACAAGAGACCAAGGAAGACCAACAGAGGGGCAGCCGCGCCACTGTTCCAGTAAGAGCTGAGGAGAGTCCCAGATGAGGGCTCACTCAGCAGCCGCGGAGCAGAAGCCAGGGGGAGTTGCAGTGACGCGCCCGTGAGCTCCGCCGGCAGCCAGCCGTGCCTGAGTGACCGAGCCCCAGGCCAAGAGGCCGGGGGCACCCCACCTCCGAAGTGGCCCGAGCGAGCCCCAGGCTCCAGGCCCCGATAAGCGGCCGCCAAGGAGTGAGCCGGTGTGTACCTGGACGCCCATCCCCGACACAAAGAACCACCAACGCACCGATGTCTGAGGGAGTCCGCCACTGGCAGGGGAAGTGGTAGTGGGGGGGAGATAGGCCTCCAAACCTTGGAGGGCCTGAGATGTCCCCAGAGAGGTGACGCCTGACACCCAACCTGACATATAGACACAGACATACAGGCACACACAGATACAAACATCCATTCCCACCCTCATGCTCTCATATGCACTTACTCCACACTCAACCAACGTGGAGACAGACATAAAGAGACGCTGTACACACGATCACACTCCCCAAGCGTACTCTACAAACCGGGTCTAGGTACCCCCGCCCCTGGAGGGGGGAACTGCACCCAGACCCAGGTGGTGTTACCCTTTTCCCTGCGGTGGGGAGAGGCAGACCGCCCCGACTCCACAGCAGCAGGGAGGCCCCACACTCCAGACCGCAGTCGGACGGCCAACTCCTCCTCCTAGCCCTCCAGCAGGTCGCAGAGAATGGGGGTGAGAGAAGACTCCAAACCTCCCTCCACCCGCTCATTGTAGTGTTGATGCATGTGTGTTCTAAGGTGCATTTAAAACCCAGGAGGGCTTGGAGCTACCTGCCAGAGAGCAGCAGGTAAGCGCATGGTCCCTCCTGCTAGCCCTCAATGTCTACGTGTATTTAAAATTGAGAGGTGGGCAACGACGCCAGGGGTGAGGTGTACACCCTGATGGTACTTTGGACTCTGTGTATCGTGCCCACCCCCAAGATCCTATATGTATGTGTAATGAGAGTGTGAGTAATGTGAATGTCTAAGTTGTGGGATAAAATTGAGGCAGAGGCAGCCAGAAGGGGACCGGGGGGGGGGGGGGGAGCCTCCTCTGCACCCTGGTGACATACCCCTACTCCAAGGCCCTGCATGTGTGGGTGGTTGTGGTGGAGCGGGAAGAGGGAGGCAGCTGGAGATGGGGAGGGAAGGAAGGGAGGGGCAAGTGACCCCTACTGGGGTCAGCGGGGGAGCTGACCCCTTAATTTAAAATGATCGCCGTGGCGCCACAGACTCACCCTATGACAAAAACTCAAAAGCTCCACAATTTAATGTGGCCCAAGTCTGTAGTTGAGACTGACCAAATATGATGTTGATTGTCCCTATGAGGAGTTCGCAAAAGTACAACACCTGGAAATCAGCTGGAAAATATCACCTTCAATGAACAACGGAAGCTAAATGTCCCTCCATCCATTCCCTTCCACTTATCCTTGTTAGGGTCACAGGGGGCTGGAGACTATACACCCTGGACAGGTCGCCAGTCTGCCGCAGGGCTAACACACAGAGACAGACAACCATTCACACCTATGGGCAATTTGAAAGAGGTACCATAGGATGTTCATTGCCTGGGCCCTTCTGGCCTTAAGAATTAAAGGCATAGTACAATTAAACAAACCAAATGAGGGGTCCAATCATTGTAGTTTCATTCATAGTAGTTTCATTGGTTTCAATCATTGTAGAAACCAAACTGCCTGGCGACGGTATGATGTGTACGACTGCATTTTTCCAGCAAGGCACCCAGGCTCTAAGTGGTGTCCAGATTGGAGCTTTGTATACTGGAGTGTGGGGCCACATGGGTATACCTACAAAAAAGTGCCTCACACTTATATCTAGACTCTAATTTTTGAGATTTATATTTCCATAGCCAAGTTAAACCCTACTGAGCCACAACAAAACTTTTAAATTAAATAATAAATATTTCAAATATTTTGGACCATTTAAACCATTAAAATCAGATTTAAATGAGCAGATTTCAATTACAAGTTCAGACATTTTTGCTGTTTAAGCGGTCAAAAGCCAAAACGAACCGTAATTCCTGCTATGGCACAGAAATGCTGTTCTCACACTTTAATGTACGCCAGTAATTCCAGATTCAGCACGTTTTATCGACTGCTGGATCAGCTGGACTCAGATGACCTTTACTTGGCCAAGAAACAATTTTTGGAATTTGTTGGTGAAACCGACCAGAATGCAGCAAACTCGTCCAGCTGAGCTTTACGATCAAATACAAGCCACTGATTGGCAACGCTCCCCACTGGATCAATTAGGTGATAACGTGACATCGCTCTCATTATCACTCCTATGTAATTAGAGATTAAACTTAATTTGTGAGTAGATTTAATGCGATCTTCATTCAAATAGCCACTGAAGGTTCTGAGATGAACTTTGGGACTACTTAGTGAGAAAGTTTGACTTTGTGTTTTTATGAGACAAAGTGGAGTTAGCTGAGACATCACAGCTAAATGTTTCATCTGATCTGCTTAAACCAGCAGTAACTGATTTTAGAGATAAAGGCTGAAAACACCATATCAGCTGAGAGACAACAGCTGAATCATTTCTACAGTCACAGAGAAGCAGTTTAGCCTCTGTGTAGCCTGAGAGGAATAACCAGCAGCTTTATGGCTCTGCATCTCTGTGTGTGGACAACTGATGGGAGTGACTCACATTAGACAGCCGATGTGCTGAGGAGGCTTGTCAGAGTGTCTTGATGAAGAGTGAGGTTCCACAGCGCTGCTGTAAGAGCCCTTCAAGTCTGAGAAAACTGACACTAAATCCGATTACCTGCACTGTTTACGTCTCCATATTTGAAATCACATTAGTGTCTGTAATGTTCTCTTCCATTTAGTGTCTTTGAAATTGCGATTAATGGCTTAAATATGAAAGAAGATCCTCTTCATACTCCTTGATTTTACTCTTGTTAGTTGTTCACATTTTCTGTGAGTAGAAGACTAGTAGCTTATTTCAGCCTTCATATATGATTATTACGATTTACAGCATTGTAATTGGATGTGAAGAGCAGAAACAGTGGCTTCTTGGTTCCTCCTAAAAATAGATAATTACTTAAACAGCAGGCTGGCAGTGGATGTAAGTGGTAATGAACAGAACCAATAAAATTAATGAATAAAGCTATGGTAATGACTATTGATAAGCCATATATAGTGCTGCTTGTTGAGTCATCCTGGCTTTCAGGGCACTTCTGGGCAGTTTCACGCTTGCATTAGGAATGTCCAACAAATTAATCTCACAAAGCAGACTTCAATCATCAAATTTCCTGTGCAGAGTTGGAAGCGCACACATGCATCCTGCTTGCAAAAACCACTGGCTGGCAGAACATGTCG